GTTAATACAAAATATATTTTTTTATGAAGGTTTTGAACTTTAATTCTTGAAGAACAAACCTTATCGTATTCACCAAATGCTTTTGCAAATGCTACCAAAAATGCTTCAAAATTGTGCAATATAAAATAATTCTTTTCAAATTGTGGAAGGAACTAAGTTAAAGCTTGACTTGAAAGCAAGGTTTTAACCAAATCAACACAAGATGTTTCAGTGGAATATTGTTGAGGTTGAAGTAAGGTGATTAGTTGTACTTGATTTACAAAGCCACAAAATTTTGAGCAAGTGCCATCAAACTTTTTTGGAAGGCTGATCCTTGGTTCTTTTACTGTTATTATTGTCAAATCATTACCTTCAGTGGATGCACCTCCCATGTTTGATGAAGCGGTTATAGTTGTTTGAGAATTTGGAATATTTATTACCATTTCATGTGGTGGTTGATGCACTCTAGCTCCTTGACCGTTATATATGGTCATGTATAGTTCTTCATTCAGCTTTGACAAAGTCTCTATCCTAATCTTCAATGCTTCAAGTGCATTAATAATAAAATCTAACTTGATTTCTTTAAAGTCTATCATATTGAAATTTTTCTATAATCATCTTCATCCATCTTTGCTTCATTCAACTAAATCCTAGACTCATCTTAATCTATCAACCACTTTAAATCTAAGCCACTACATTAGTAACTTATCTTCATTTTTTTACTATCTTTTGATTATTAGTAATTTATTTAAAATAATAGTATCTTATTCTTACTTTAATATGATATCCATCTTACTTTTATATTTTTATCTTATTTCTGTAACATAATATCAGAGCTAGATGAATACTTCTATAAATGAATATCAATTTGGATGAATTGTCATAGATGAATATTAATTTTGATAAAATTGGATTTTTTTTGTAGATAAAAAGTTTGGATGATTTGCCTACTGCTAGAGCTCCATCACCCTTAGAATGCTATCAAAGCTAAAGAGCTATTAGAGCTAAAAATTAACTCTATTGATATTAATTTTTTCTTAATTAAATTCTATTTGTTACTAATAATGAAGACAAGTCTTTTTTGCTCTAATATAGCTTAATAATTTTATTTCTTAAATATTCCATTTTATAGATTATTTATTAACTGATTTCTTATAAATATTTATTGCTATTGTATTAATTATATTTGACAACGGTATTTTCAATGGATCATTGCATTGATCAATTAGATGAGAAAAAAATATGGTATATGGACATGCATTATAAAACACTTAATACAAATTTGTAAGCTTTACATACATATAGATAGGTTATTAAATTATCTTATAAACATTGATGAAAAATTAAAATAAAAATCAAGCAAAGCATTGATTGCACTCAATATTAAGCCTTTGCAATTATCTCATATTTGCAAATGTAATATTGAAAAAGAAATGTGGGACATATTGGCTAAGATCCTTAGATCCTTAAGAATTATTATTAAGATATTTTTTAATGAAGAAATTGTATAGTCTTTGATACATGGATAGAAAATCTATGGAGATTTTTCTTAGAGAGATTTTTGACATTAGAGATCAATATATTGAAGCCAATGATGAAATGGACAAATAAAGCATGGCATTTCTTATACATACTATATTTCTAAAATCTTGGAATTCACTTATTTAATTGATTGCATTAAGAAAAATAAAAGATGTTATAAAAAAGATAATATAATTTATTTTCTTTGAAAAAGAGATGCAAAGGAAGGAGAAGACTAGTTTTTTATTTTTTGCTTTAGTAGTGCATGCAAGAAGAAAGCAAGTCTTAAAGAAGAACCATCTACAACAAAAGTAAAAGCCTAAGATCAATAAGTCTAGAAGTATTTGTAGGACTTATAGATAGAAAGGATATTAGTAAAGAGATGTAAAATATTCTAAAAGAAATAACATTGGTATAATAAATGTTGGCATTGCTATTGCTCTTTCAGCTCAAGAAACATCATTTAATTCAAAAATAATAATTATATTGTTGTCTCAATTACAGCATTATGTATGCATTGATATTGCAGCAAATGTATACATCTAAAGAGACAAGAGTAAGCTTCTCAATTTTGATAAAAATGTGGCTATCCAACTCTAAGGCTATAATGGTGGCATTATCAAATTACAAGGCTCAAGTAAGATATATTTTATAATTTTAGATCCTATAAAAAAAATACTTTCATGTCGTTATGAAGAATATCCATTAGATTCTTAGAACACATGATAATTTATTACTAGTTGCAACTTTATGTAAGAAAGTTGTAAATTTAACTTGAATGTTAATGGAATCAACTAGATTCTTTCTTTAAGTGACTTTTTTATACAAGATATGCTAACAAGTAAAGCTTACCTTATGCCTTATGAATTTGAAGAAGTTGCTATAATTTCTAGTTTATCTATTTCAAGTCATATATATATTGAATGGCATCAAATATTAGCACATGCTTAAATGTATATAATAAAGAAGTCAAAGGAGATGAATTGTATTGAAGGATTAAAGATCAAGGGAAAAAAAGATAAAATATCTATATTTGAGTCATGCATAATTGGCAAGGCCTATAGGCAAGCTTTTTCACATATGCATAAGCATGATAATGGTATTTTAGATGTAATAATATTTAATCTTAATTATTTTGGTATGGCTTGCTTTGATGGCGCCAAATGGTTAGTTTTGTGGATCAATGAATATTCAGGCTATTATGGCCTTACATTTCTTTATACTAAGGAACAAGCACATATGGCTTATAAGACTTGAAAAGCAAAGGCACAAAGAAGAATTGGTAGAAAGATAAAAACTTTTTTTTTATTGATCAAGGAACTAAATTTTTGAATAATAAGTTTGGTTTTTACTTTAAAGCTAAAGGCATTTGGTACATGATCACTCTTGCATATACACATGAAATTCTTGGCATGGCAAAACATATAATACTAACTATTTTTGAAGGAATACAAACACTTCTAGACAATGCTAAGTTGGATCGTCAATATTGAGCATTTGTAGAAAAATTTGTCACTTGGACTCACATTCATCTTCTACTTGTAAGATTCAATGGTAATACATCACATGAAGTTTTTTACAATGACAAATCTTTTCTTCAAAATACTCATTGCTTTGGTTTTTTTGTTTGGTATTCCATACCAAAAGAAAAATGTCAAAAGCTTGATGCAAAGGTAAAGAGGGATATTTTTATTAGATATTCAAAAGTAGAAAAAAAATATGAATTTTTTTTACCTTAAAGAGAAGAAGGTGATCTTTAGTCAAGATGTGATTTTTCTAGATAATAAGGATGAATTACTTGGTGAGCCACTAATCCCTCAAAAAAAAACTGAAAAAAATATAGATCATAGAAATAATCTTAATATATTAGATTCTCAAAATGCAAATGAATTAGAAATATTTCAACCTCAAGCCTCAAGATTATATGTGCATGATGGATTGTATGGAAAAATGGTTGAAGAAGAAGCAAACCTTATACTAATATAAGTAGTGGATAATCTTAATATATTAGATTTTCAAAAATAGGCAATAATTTTATTCAAGGAGATTATAACTTCTTGATTGAAATAATGGATATGATTAATATTGATGAATATATAAAATCGAAGATTGTTGAACAAGCCATGAATTCACCTTTTTGCAAAGAGTGGAGTCATGCTATGAAAGAAGAACTTGATTCTTTAAAAGATCATGGTATATGGAAATGTTTATTTTTACCTAATAATAGAAAGACTATAGGTTCAAAATAGATTTTTTAAAAAAACTTACTAATAACAGCTCCATTGAATGTTTTAAAATACCATTGGTTCCAAAGAATTTTAAACAAGTGAAGAATCTTGATTACTAAGAAACTTTTGTACCAAATGCTTGCCTTGCAATAATTTGCATATTTGTTGTAATTACCACTATCTTTAATTGGAATATATTACAACTTGATGTTGTTTTAGCTTATTTAAATGGAAATTTTTAAAAATATGATATTTATATGAAAATTTTAGAAGGTTTGGAAGTTCTATTAGAATATAAAGGCAAGGTGTTACAATTGCTAAAGACTTTATATAATTTGAAGTAATTTGGACATAGATAGAATAAGAGTTTGAATAAATTTTTATTAAATCTGGATTGGAAGCTCTCAAAATTAGACCTTTTTTTGTAGATAATATATATTGAGAAACTAATTCTTGCACTAATTATCTATATTGATGATTTACTTATTAGTGGCAAGAACTTTGACATCCTTATGAAATACAAGAATGAATTGCAAAAGTGTTACAAGATGAAAGACCTTAGAGAATCTAATATTTTTTTTGCATTGATTTTTTGTAAGATAAGAAAAATGATACTATTAATTTGAACCAAACTAAGTACATTTGTTTAAAGTTATAGAAATTTGGGATGAAAGATGCAAAGGCAATTACAACACCAATGGTACAAAGTCATGATAATAAGCAAGAGAATGATGAGCTTTTAAATACAAAAAGTCTAAAGTTATATCAAAAAGCTTAAAGTTCGTTATTATATCTTCCAAATAGTCAAAGGTATGATATTATATTTTCTTATCAATACATTGCTCAATACATGGCACATCCATATGTTTCACATTAATAAGGAATCAAAAAAATATTTTTTTATTTGCAATGAACAAAATATTTGGTATTAAAATATGGAAGAAAAGAAACAAATTTGTAACTTGTAGACTACAATGATGTAGATAGAGCAAGTTGTGTAGAAATGTGCCATTTAATAGAAAGTTGTGCATTTATATTAGGTGGAATAATTATCACTTGGTTAAGCAAAAAATAATCTTTAGTTTTTGTTTTATTAGCAAAAAACAAAGTATGCAACTTTGGTTGCTGCAGCAAGGGAGACTTTGTGGCTTTGTAAAATACTTAGAGATTATGACATTCGTAAGCCAGAAAAGATTTTTTATTTATAAAGATAATCAGAATGCCATTGCTATTGCCAAGAATCCAATATACTATAGCCCTAGAAAGCATTAGGATACTGAACATCATTTTATTACACAATGTGTGGAGAAAGGACAAATTAGTTTAGAGTATTGTACCATGGAGCAAATGGCAGCAGACATCTTCACAAAACCTCTCCCTACAAATATTTTTTTTTCACTTTTAAGGATATTAGGTCTTGTTTCACTTGAGAATTAAGTTCCACTTCCGGAAGAGAAGTGATTAATGTCCCATATTATTTGTACTGAAAGCTGTGACTTATCTAGCATTTAACTAAGACATCAAAAGTGCCCTTCAATTGGTTTCCGGTACTTTTCGTATGCAACAAATGATGTCTATCTTGCTTTCATGTTTTCATCTTGTTTTAGTAACAGAAATAGTATCAACTCGATTGCAACTATCACTAATTTGCCTTTGTCTGGTACCACAGATCAGGTTGCTGAACCAATGGTTGATACTCAGGTTGATTAGGAAGATACGCTTGCTGAGCTCCTCCAGGCGGACACACCACCATTTGTGCTTGCGGCTTAATGCACTCTCCCATTTGAACGGAAGGATATCCATGAGGTTGCCCTTGAGGATACATGGGCTGACCCTATTGAGTTCCATAATCTGGCAGCTGCTGGACATAAGTCGGATTGGGTAGCGAAGTGTATGTTTGCGCTGCAGCCGCTGCCTGATAGTATCCGGCTGGTTGAGGCTGGAACTGTCCTCCGACCTGAGATTGGAAGAACGAGGAGTTCTTCGGCGGTTCGTATCCCATGACAAAGCTACCCGTCGGCTGAGGTTGGAAGTACGACGAGTTCGCAGGCGGCGCGTATCCCATGACTACAATCCCCGTCGGCTGCAGTGTAGCCTGCGGCTGGAAATAATTCGAGCCGGTTGCTGGTGGCATCTGCTGAGGCTGTGGCGCGTAGCTGGGAGCCGTGCCCGGCATCATAACAGGGTTAGCGATATGACTATAACAGGGAGCTTGGCTCGAGGAAGGATACGGCGACCATTGCTGAGATTGCGCTTGTTGCTGATGGTATCCGTTTGTTTGGGCACCGCTGCTGGTTGCAACCTGCGTAGCGGAAACCTCTTGCGTTTGAATGTGAATGCCTTGGACGTTTCCAAACGCGTCAACCTGCATGCCGTCGACGACTTGAGAGACGACCGTGGTTTGCACAGCGACTTTGGTGACGCAATTCTCCTCCATCCACTGGGTATGCACGATCTCCGCCTTGTCACCGAGCTTGCGGTACATTTTTTTGATGAGGTGCCGGTGCATCATGTACTTGGGCACGGTCAGCAGCGGCGTCATGATCCAGACGACGTCCATTGCGGAGTCGCCGATCATCTCTAACAGAATGTCCCTCAGAATCTCCGTCCAGATCCAGTCTCCGAGACCGAGCTTCTTCAGAACCTCGAGCACGGCGGTTTCCACGCCCGCCATCACCGAGCTTTTCCCCGAGTTCCTAATCGACCTACCCACATTCTTGCTCATGTCCCGCAGGTCGTTGAAGGAGCGCACGTTGAGCAGCGGGATGAGGCCCAGGGTTAAGGAGAAGTCGAGGCACTGGATCAAGGTCGCGGCCACCACCACTGCGACGCCGCTGAAGGGGATGACCGTGGAGCTCAAGGACGATAGGGCCACCGTCGTCAGGTCCATCACTCGCTTGCTGCATTCCTCATCCACGATGCCGTTCAGCCGCTTCTTGATGAACTCCTTCACTCGGAGACATATCTCAGCCTCTGCAGAATTGGAATCCACAAGTTCGTCAATAAAGTCCGGAATAAAAGAACAAAAAGAAGCCAGCAACTCTAAATGTCCAAAATCTAACACGTCTTCTGTTGTGAGATTGAGATTTGCATTTCTGTCTCGCTATTTCCTCAAATGAAAATGGTGCAAGAATTTTGACAATATTAGCGGTCACAACTAGTGAATTAACAGAGCTCCGACAACTGATCAAACTGCAACTATATTTTTCCTCCGTTAATGAACACATCCAAAGCTACAGAGGGGATGAGCCTTAAAATAAACCACAAACATTCCAACAACATTTTTAGCCTCTAAAAACCACGCACTATGTGTCGAAAAGCGACTACTGCAGACGGTTAGCACCATGAACGTTTCAAGTCAAAACTCACCAGTAGCGTTTCTATGCTTCGAGCGCTGATTCTCAAACTGCTTGTAAACCGCGATCGACTTGTTGTCGATTAAGGCAGCCGTCCCCTGCGCACCAAACTCGGCACCCATCTTGACTCAACCCCAGGCTCGAAACACTCTCGACGATGGGAAGTTGATACCGAAGGAGGTCTCAAGTCGAAGCCTGTTTGTATCGAACTAGTAGCTAGCGTCTCCTCATCTGCCCACAAGCGAGCGAACTCAGTGGCAACTAACTGCAAATACCTAAGCTGATCTCTTACGCAAGCTGGTGCTCTAGAATGAAACTATGCTGGCAAGTCGGCTGGCTGTAACAGTTGATGATGAAACTGAAGGACTGGTGTTGCTAATTATATAATGGAGGTGCCGAAAGTTCACAGAGGATAGATTCGGGTCTGAAGCTGTCCTGGTGATCGACATGGAATCCAAGTTGACTGCAGTGCGCGTATTGACAAATGACCCTTACCGACAACATTGAATGCAGCGGTAAGTCCGGTCAAGGCATTTGAATGTCCGCAATCACGTTCAGCTGGGTACCATGGCCATATCATGATGTATTGGTTTATGTGGTGAGCATCAGTCGAGGTGGGGCCGGTAGTGACGGATTAGGTCGGGTGCCGCCTCCGATGCTAAAGGAGGCAGCTATGTGTATTATCAGAGAAGCTTCCATTGCGCAATCCACCATTTTCTTTTATGATCCTTTGGAATAGCCTTTCAAACTGCTGTCGGGTCTCTTTGTGAATGTTTAAATTACATGGCGTATTCATATTTTAATAACAAGGCACGTTGGTTTTTGAGCATATGACATATGCAGCTTATGAAAAAGCAATCTCCAGAAAATAACATGTGTTACTTATCCACTGACCTAACATCAGGAATCAGTGTGGATTTTCAATATTTTAAAAAGCTTGCTACATTAAAGATGTGCAGTGATGTAACTTAGGCTATTGACAAATATTAGTGCCAAATAAAAAAGAGGGGAGTAAAACCTTGCTAATGTTAAGTGTGTTTAATGGTATTGGTTTGTGACATAGTACCTAGGTAGCACATTTCCCATCCCTTGAATGGATATAATTTTTTTTTTTTGTAAAATAAGGTTTGTCCTTCCAAATTTCTTAATTTTTGTTCCTTCCCTAAAAATGGCCTCAAATACATTGAAATAGTAAAAAAAAAAAAAAAAAAAAAAAGAATATAAAATTATTTATTTCATTTTAAAAAATATATTATTTTTATATTTTTTTGATTTTTTTGCATTTTATTTGTAGGATTTCTTCTATGATCAACATGCTATCTGAAGTATGGTGTGTTGCTGTTTTCACAAGGTGTGATGAATTGATGTTCATTAGTTTAGGATTTATTAAGACCATATTGTTTTGGCCAACTAGTCACTACTTCTATGAATAGGTTTAGGATTTAGGATTTAGGTTTTTTTAAGGTTTAAAGTCTAGGATTCAAGAGTATCCTATAGGTTTTTATCCTAAATTTTTTAAAACTTATTATATTTTTGTCCAACTTGAGACTTTGCCATAGCATATATGCTCATAAAGGCCTATATAAATGATTTAGTTTCTCAATACTATATGTTAATTTTTTTTGGAATTTAGGGTTTAGAAATCTTGATTAGGATGTATGGATATAGGAATTGTTAGCATATAAGATTTGTGTATAGAATTCATAGAGGTGTACCTTGATTCTTTTGTTCCATCTAGCATCAGTGAGTATATCAATGATTGCCATACTTGTGAATTAAACTAACTCTTTAAATCCACCGATCTAGATCCTGTCAATCCATTGTAAGCTGTTGTATGGTGTAATTTGTAATTTGGGAATACAGCTTTTAGGATTTAAGGTTTAGGGTTTTAAGGGTTTAGGGGTTTAGGATTTAGGGTTTAGGGTTTTAGGGGTTTAGGGTTTAGGTTTTAGAGTTACATGGATGTCCTAGAGGTTTTTGATCCTCAATATCTCTCAATGTATCACAGTTTTTTTTGTTGTAAAATTTTGCCAAGGCTTAGAGTGTCCCAAAGACCTCTATAAATATTTTTGTTTTTCAAAAATATGTGTTTTATTTTCTGTAATTTAGGATTTGGAAACCCTAATTAGGATCTTCAAACCCTGATTAGAGATTTGACTTTCATATTTCTTCTCATGTATGAACTGTGTATGGAGTCTAAATACGTACAGAACTTTGCTTACCTAAAGCAATCTTCGATAGATAGCTCGTTCACCTAGTCTAGATCCAGAGAGTCCTTCACGCTGCTCGCCCGTATGACTTTGCCCGCTCTCCACCTCCTACACCATCGGCTCTCCTTCCATTAGGATCATCGTTGACGGAGATAATATCAGCTCCATCCTCGACTTCTGCGACACTCATGCAGGCGATGTTCGTGCCTATCTTCGATGCATCCGTGATTGCAGCCTTCGAGACTATGCCGCTTACTACAACGTCGCCTCTAGTTATATTACAGATTCTACAAAATCAGACATCGACACGCTCGTTAATCACCCCGCATTCACGCCCATTCCTCAATCGATCCCGACCAAGACAATAGAGTCAGTGGCAATCAGTGGCAGTGGATACTGTATGTGCCCAACCTACATCAACCTAGGCAATGAATTCTACAATATCACACACCTTGCACTCTAGTGGGTCGAGCTTGAGTACTCCAACAGCTACCTCAGACCGTCACATTCCGATGGTCCATCGTAAGACAAGTCCTTGTATCTCAACGCCCGATCGTAACTCGTTGGTACACCAGCTCGTGGCAATCTTTTGTTACGCTCTGTGGTCCGATCTCTCGTTGTCGCTTCCTATGTCGCCATAGGCATCCACCATAGCTGCTTTGACATATGCACGAAAAACCACACTTGACGATGATAATTCTTCCCATTCTTACACAACTGCGTCTAAGTACCGAGCCAAATGTAGCCAATACTCAAATGCTTAAATGCAGCCAAACTCGCATGCATTACCTCTCAAAGATCTCCTTATTTCAAAAGTTCATACATGCTGTCCCCGAGTTGTCGTAACGCCGCATATTACAATGCCTAGCTTCGTCGCTCGGGTGGGCAAATCGACCCTCCGTCCAATCATGGCTCTTCCCTCTCCTACATCGTCTCACCTAGAATTCCAACATCCGGAACTGATTACACCCGTACATATCTATCACTAGTCACGCTTCCTCGTCCTCATTGTTTGATGATAGAAAATTATTGAACGACACATCAAAAAATATCTATAATCCTAGCGAACAGGTCCCTCGACCCCCAGCAGTGACGTCGATCCCAAGTTCAATCCTCGCATGTTCATTCGACTTGTTATCTTCCCGCCTCCTCATAAAAGCCTCTTTGGCTGCTCCTCGCCTCAATCCGCGACTCCTTGTTTGTCATCAAAAATCCCAAAAATTTATCCTTGGACACCGACGACCTCAATAGGCTCGAAAAGAAATTGTTGAATGTGTGCAACTCTAAATCCTACCTCCAAAAGCTATAGCTCCTCTAGTATACCCCACCCAATGCGTCATCTCGAGATGCCTCTACATCGTGTATCGCTGCGGATAAGACCGAGGTCTATTACCGAATTGCATGTTGTGCTTACACATCTTGCAACATAGGCATATAGTCATCCATCGATTCATACAATGATGGTGAAGACAAACTCCTCCGTCCGGCGATGCCAGTCTCCCCGCTCTGCCACTCATAAACGGTGACTTTTTTCCTCCCCCCACGAAACCCTAACTTGCTGCTTCTACAAAACTGCCATTGTCTCCCTCGCAAGCCCCTGCTCCTCTTCACTCCATATCTTTCTCTACCCCCTTTCCTCGGTTGCATCTCATTGGCCACACTTTCGTCTCTTTCAACCTTGAACTACCCTTCGACTACTCATTCTCTCCTTACTTTGCAAGCAAACCTAAACGATGTGTTCGTTGAGACATGCGCCGCACTGTCTTGCTCTTCTATGAAGCTTGAGGCAGCATTTGATCGGAAGATTAGGCGTCCACATTTTGGACGAGTCCGTAGAAGAGGAAGGGTAATGAGAGTGGCATCTAGGAAACGGTGTCGTGTTGTAACACGAGTATACCTTGAAAATATAAAGAAAGGGGACTTTTATTAATATTCACTTACCTCGAATATTGGGAGCAACGACCAACTCCAGTGCAAAAACTGAGTGGTCAAGTTCAGTCACTCCGTTATATTCAGCCGGGGCATACTAAAATGCTCCGTTCGATTCCAATAACGGGAGTCAGCAGGAAGGGAAAGGACCAATTCATGCGACGGATGAGCCTAGTTCGAAGAGCCAATTGGATCTAATTTCGAGAATCCAATCCGGGTCATCTTACCCAATATGAGACCTGTATTGATCGGGCAACCCAATGCAGTCTAATTACGAGAAAATCCAGGTTTTACTACGGGCCTCAGCCAATCTGACATGAAGGACGAATTTGATCCAATTATGGGAACATCCGGGTCTTACTACTGGACTCTTATCCAATATGAGACCTGAATTGGTCGGGCGACTCAATGGGGACTCGAGTACGAGGTTTCGATTCTGTTTCAGGCTGCCCTATTCTCTATGCCATTTCAGGGAACGTTGTTTTCGGTAAATGGGTTTCTTAAAGGTAAAAATGTAGAAGGAAGCTCTGACAACGGGAGCTAATTTCGGATCTAAGCTCTGACGATGGGAGCCAATTCCGGATCCAAGACGGAAGATTGAAGAAATTGAGAGGATAAGGTTAGGGGGGAGAATAAGTTTTTAGGGGAAGTTTTTGAGGAGGATTGGAGAGGACCTTCATGCTTCGGGTCGGGGAAGAAAAGACAGAGAATTGGATTTTTCTTCTTCATAGAGTTTTGGGAAGACTGAGGCAATCGTTGCTGAAGTCAATGTTGTAATGGTGAATCGGGATTTTTAATGAAGAGGATGTGATCACTCCTGACTGTTTTGTGAAATCGAGTTACGTTTGTGATTGAAGGATTAAAAGGGTGTCTATAGAATTGAGTATGTGGAGTGAATGAAAATTGTTGGGTTAATCTAACAGGACAGTCAGTGGATACAAGATCGTAAGTACAAAGCGGTATCGGAGATAAGCAGATTGGGTTGTTCGGGGTTCTCTGTAACGTCTAAAGACCTACCGGCTGGGGCAAAAAGGACTTCGACAAGCAGTCGAAGGGCATCCATATAGATTTACGATGTATTCTTGTAGTTGTTTATATTCCAGCAGTCAAAAACTGATAGACTGCTTGACTATCGGCGAATCTCCATACTACCTTCTACAGCCAGACATTCAGCGCGTTCTCGAGCAGGAAGCACGTAATACGACAAAAGTGGTGAACTCGACGTGAAA